AAGTGGGAAAATGAGACCGTTACAGCCGGACCTCAGTCCGCGACCGAAAATGGGGAATGGGGAGCGGAGCCCGGCCTGTCGGACAAACAAAGAAAGACGCGCGACCTACCTATGCGTACAGTCTACCCAGTCAGTTCCGCGGCAGGCTGACAAGTGTGATGACTCAAAAAAACCCCAACGCACGCCTTACTCACTCTTAGAGCCTAGGCGTGCTAGGCAGGTTCCCAAGTTCCCAAAGGAAAAAAAGATAGTGAGACCAACACCCGTGGCGGCGTGACCCAACAAAGAGAAGAAGAAACCAAAAAACGTCACTTCAAATGCCGTCCGCCGTTGAAGGGGGCGGCGCACTGGAATCGTTTCGGGTACCTGGTGCCACACAGCCAGGTGGACTTTTTTTCCTCGATCAGTCATAAACGCTGCGGCGCTAAGGCAGGTGTGTAAGTCAGGCACGTCGGGAAGGGGGGGGGGGGTGTTGTGTTAGCTACTAAGCTGAGTTACATCCCGCTGGCGAGACAAGACAATGCCTAAGAAAAGACTTGGGAAGAAGAATGGGAATCGGGAAAAGACCTCAGAGATTCAGAAAAAAGAAACCATAAAACATCCGATTGGCGAATACAAACGCATGACGACGGTATTCTTTTCCGGGCTGGAACACCGGTTGATGTCTTGTCTAAGGTAGGAAAAAGCTGAGCCCATGTCGAAGGAATGTAAAAGTCAAGCCCCCATCGATCGATGAACTAGAACATTGTTCAGCCCCCGAGTCAGATCACACAACGCGGGACGCGAAAGGCACTTAGGGAGAGGAGGCATTGATCACAGGAAAGATGCGGGCTAAGTAGGGAAAAGTTTTTGGCAGCGCGTAAAGTGTTCTCTTTTTTTTGTGTTCAGAAATGTGTTTGTGTGTGTACAGGTTTACAAAGTTGTTTTTGCGGCGAAAAGAAATGAAAATCCATCTTCTGTTTGTCCGATGATGAGGTGACCTGCACTCCAAGCACCCCCTTCTCCTCTGCTTCCGCCTCCGCTTCCTCTCTCTCACACTGAATTGGATCCGCGACCAACAAGATAAGAGCTCAAACGAGAAGAATCCCAACTCGATGGTGAAAAAAGTAAACACATGAAGGCGACGAACCCGCAGACGGTGAACCTTCCCGAGAGAGAGGTATCCGAGCGTCGGGTCGCCGCGCACAAGAAGAAATGTTCCCATGTTCCAAATGCGATGCTGGCTGCCGGCCTCCGAACATGCTGGAGAGATTACAACGAGCGTAGAGAAAAGTACGCTTTGGCCGCTGCCAAAAAAATTGGATGGATGTTGAGTCTTGGGTTGTGTCTCTGTGTCTTCCCTCTTCCTCTGTCTCCGAAAAAAAATCCAAACGAATAAACAATCATGCTGCTGCTGTGAGTCTGTTTGAAACAAAGTCCGCCGTTACACGCCGTTGTCCTGGTTCCGGATTGCTCTTGCCTTTGCCCTTGCGTTCTTGAACTTTTGGTGATCATCAATGCTGCCCTTGAAACAACGCATCCCTTCGACGCTGACCATGTTCCGAGACCTGTGGGGGAGTCGGCGAGTCTGGCGTCGCAAATACTGATACAGTGGAAGATAATGCGTTGGTGAGAAAATGCCCAAACCCGCTTGCACTTTTCGCATGTGGCCCTTCCCAAGGCGGATCATCTTCTGGTGGTTCATGATGGTCCTCCTGTGGAATGGCACCCTGTGTGACCCTAGTGACCTATCCGCGTAAAACATAGCGGGGCTGGCCTGAGAAGGAAAAAATATCAAAAAAGAAGTTGTCGTCATCAAAGTCGTGTCGGGCATGATCGAGAGCGACGGTTAGTCGCTGTCGATGCTGAAATTGAATGCGAAAAAAACAAGTCGCTCGGACTGTTTAGTCAGAGCGCTTGCGCTTCTTCTTGCTGTTCTCATCTTCCGAGGAGAGCTCGCTGGCGCTTCCGGGAATCTCAGAGGCAACCTGGAAGAGGACCTTGCCAAGAGTGTGATAGTCTTCTGGGTGGCCCATCATGCTGTGGTCATAGGAGTGAACGGCTGAGTCGTCGAGCTCCATGACAATGGCGCCGCTGCCGTGGGTTCTAGCGTGCTGAGACAGGTTGTCACTGCGGGAGAACTTCTTGCCGCACTCGTGGCACTCAAAAGGCTTCTCCCCGGTGTGGAGGGAGCGGTAGTGACGCTTCAGGTGCTCCTGGCGGCGGAAGCGGCGGTTGCAGAGCTCGCAGACAAAGGTCTTGGAGGGGTCCTCGGTGAGGGACTGCTTGCGGCCGCGGCGGTTGACGGGAGCCGGGAGAGGCGCCGAGTTGGACTCAGAGTCGGAAGAGCTGTTGGCCTCGGAAGCGGGAGCCTGGCTGTTGGAACGCTGCTCGCTGCTAGCAGCCTGGGAAGCTCCAGAAGCTGTGTTCATGCTGGGCGCCGACTCGCTCGCGTCCTTCTTGACTACCTTGCGACGCTTGACCTGGTGGCAGTCGTTGTCGGAGCAGGAAGAGGAGGGGCTGGGAAGGCAGGCCGGCGCAGAGAAATCCGCCTCGTCAAAGTTGAACTCCTCGCCGATGAAGCTGGCGTGGCCGAGAGAGACGACGCTGGAGCCGGTGCAGGCACGGGGACGACGGACCTCAGCAGAGTGAGCGTCGCCGAGGTTGACAAGACCGTTGACGAAGTCGTCCTCAGACTCCAAATCACTCAGGTCCTCAAAGGCGGGAAGGCCGTGAGGGAAAGCAGGGTTGAAGTCAAAGGTCGGTTGAGAAGGGGCTGAGGTAGGGGTCTTGGCAGAAACTTCACTCCTGAGCTCATCACCGAGGGTGAAAGCGGGGAACTCGGGCGCCAGAGTCGGGTTGGAGGTGTTGGGTGCAGCAGCGACAGTGAGATTGCGAGGATCGCAAAAGTCAAGATCCTGTTCAGACGCGACAGACCTGGCGTACGGTGAGGGAGAGGGAGAAAGTGAAGGGCAAGATGCGGTGGACAGGAGGTCGCTAGTGTTGGTGTTAAGCGAGGGGACCTGAGCTGCTTGGTTTTGGAGGTAGACTGCCAAATTGAGTTAGCCTCCGAAAAACGTCCCTCAGTAAATCCCACGAAGTGCCCCGCCAAACTTGCTTTCCGGCAACCACCACCACCCAGGCCGTTGGGAATGGGGTCAAAAAATCCGCCGAGGCCCATGCAGCGCAAAAGTGTATGGAATTGCAGGTCGAGAGCATAAAATTCGGTGCACAACGAAGAGGGAAAATTAAACGCAGTATGATTGCAACTTACCAGGTGTCATCGGGGGTGACCCGCAGCTGCTCCAGTCGACAGCGTGGTTCTCAGGCACTTCCAGCGTCTCCTTGAAGCCCTCCAGGCCGTCAATACCCTCCAAACCGGAGAACATGGGGTTCATCGGTGTCTGGAGAAGATCGTAGCTGGCATTGGGGCTGCTGATGGCACTGCCGCAGGTCGACAGCGGCGGTGTTGACGGGAAGTAGAGGCTATCGTCGCAAATCTCCGTCTCGAGCATGATGGCGGGCTTGTGGCTCATGGGTTGAGGAGATGCCATCGGCGTCATGTTCGCGGGTCCGTTGCTGTACAGCGTAGGGCCCATGGGCTGCGAGCAGGACGAGTTAGGGCGCGAGTAGATGGGCGTTGAAGGCAGAGTTGGGACCATGGGGTACATGGGCATGTGCTGGGACATGGTGGGCTGCTGCGAGAAGTGACCACGGTGCCTTGAGGTGTCGAGCTTCTGTTCGGGGCGGTAGTAGAGGAAGGGAGCTTGTCCCATTGCCTGAGCCGTCATCATGGTGGCGTCCATTGTGATGCGTCTGCTTGATGATCAGTTCCTAACTTCTTCCATCCGTTGTTCTCTTATTGCTCATGCGGGACGCACCAGACAAGGTTGTCGTGTTGAGCTGTGGATGTTAGTCGGCGGGGTGTTTGAGTCCGTCTTTACTGATTAATCGTAGGATGCGTGGTGTAGCGTAGTCGATGTTGTATCCTTAATCCAAGTTCTTTCGAACTGGGTGATGGGCAGTTGGCCTAATGACGGTGGGTTTCGGTTTCTTCTGTGTGAAGGATAGGACGACGGGTCGTTGGTAGGCAATGACCGTCAGGGTGTTGATGACTCGATGAGTGAAAGTGTGGGTTGTCTTAGTTGTACATGGAACTCGTCTGGAGCGTTTCTCTGTCTGTCTTCTGTTCTCGGAAGATGTCGTTGGAAGATCGAAAAGGTATGATAGAGTTGAGCTGGCTTGGTGTATTATGTGCTCGAAGACGGTTGATGGATACTGAGTTGTAGTTGTGTTTAAAGGAAGGACGGGATGGTTCGAGCAGGTCGAAGTGTTTCCCAAATGTCGAGTCTCAAAAGAAGGAAGAACCGAGAGGTCATAAGAAGAAAAGATCACAGCGCACTGTAGCCGAACGGAGTGTCGATCATGAAATAGCGAGAGTGAAATGAACGTGGGTGGTGAAGGGGGATAAGTAGAAAGAGACCAAGATCAACCGACTGGCGCAAGATAAAAGTCGTCGATAGGCCGATGGTACAGGACACTGAGTACCAAGCCAAGTGGCAGACCCGACCAGACCATCCCAGGCCCTAGCGCGCCTTCGAGTCGACAGACCCTCGTCCTCGAACCCCCGTCCCCTCGTCTCCTCTCTCTCTCACTCGTCTTCCCTCTCCACGCAGGCATGTCTCACCCACACAAGTCGACCGGGGCCAGGGGTAAATGAGTACGTATCTTGTGGATCCGAGTACGTAGACGACCCGGCTAGGGTGTGTGGAGATACGTACCGGAATCCCTCCTCTGTCGGTACGTAGCTCTCGGTCGCTGGGATGGGCTTCCGTTCCTAGCGCGTAGACTCGGAAGGGGGGGAGGGGGGAGAGGTTAGAAGTGTGAGTGGACCGCCACAGTCGTTGGATAGTGGGTGGATTTGGGAATATGTGTGGATGGATGAGCGACGGCGGCGACGGACCAGGAACAGGAACACCAGGCGAACGAGACGGTGTCATGGGTGGGTCCTGTCTGTCTGTATGCCCTCTGCATGTCTGGCTCTGGGGCCAAGCGGACATCAGGTGGGTGGTGCAGTTGTGCTGGTGGGCTTCTGGGTGCCACGGTGCTTTGGCCCTACCGCACCGGATGATGAGTTGTGTCGTTTTGTGGGTGGCATGCTGTGTGTGGGTGGGCTGGGACGAGAGGATGGCGCAGCCAGCAGGTCAATTCTAATTCTGGATGAGCAAAATGCAGGTACGGTACAAGATGGATGTTCGTATGGACACACCGTTCAGACAAGCCACGAGCTCCCCTTCTCCGTTCTGTGTTCTGTGTTCTTCACTCCGTCTCCTGCCCAGAAAGCGACGAAACGGACGAGACGAGACGAGACGAGACGGGCCATCAAGCATCACCCGGATGTACCGACCGCACTCTGAAGGGAACTTGACAGCTTCCCTGTTCTTGTTTGTGTTCGGGTAGTCTTTTGCTCTATTTTGCTGCCGGCCTGTTTGAAGTACCCGACGACGAGGACCCTCTGGCTGGCTGGCTGGCTGGCTGGCTGCGTATCCGTACTGTAGGTAGTTTGCTGGGTGCCAACAGACGCCCACATACGACATCTTGCAGGAACACGCCGGCCTCGATGCCGTCAAGGCTCTTGTAAACCCAGTCTTTCAGATGAAAAATAGCCATGCGTTCTGCAGGCAATATCAACCCCAACTCGTTCAGCCCAAGGCCGGAATTGTGGCTGACGTCTTCCTCGAGCAATTCTCACTTGCAAGCCGGAGTAGAGAGAAAAAGCCCCAACCAGCCGTCACGTTGCTCTCAGACGGCTACAGCAACCAAACCAACGCTGGCAGATGGCGTTGACGGCGGCCCTGAACGGGCGTCGGGGGAGCATCTGGACCTGAGCACAGAGCAAGCACTATACATGACTATTGTATGCCGCCGTCCTTGAGAGTGCCATCAGCCGTTTGTTCGTGATTAAATGCCCGGTCCATAGTCCGTTATGCCTTGAATACGGAAAGGCAAGAACCTGGTTGCAGTACGGAGTACCGAGCAGGCCGAAGTACAGCCAACCAAGCCACAGCGGCTTCTCAGTCATTGAACGTAGACAGGCACCATGCAACACCACCAGGAAAGAGAACGCTTAAGGTAGTTTTAATCGGCCTGCCACCAACAGAGTATGCAAGATGAGACAGGTTCGAGGTACCTCGTTCGCCAGTGGGCACTGGGCAAAGAGTATCCGTACGTCGAGGTAACCCAGCGGAGCTGCATAAACCCGAGGACCATGTACTCATTCATAGGACGGCAATTCGAGGCACAAATGGATAGCGCCTGTCGATAGACACATCGCCGTCCACACAACTAGCACAAATGGCTTCCTCGATTGGTACTGGCCATCTCAGCCCAGTCTGGCGCGCGTCCGACCACACTCTTAGGCACCATCATTCGCTGGATGAACTCTCTGTCCACAGTCACACATGCAGACACACTCATGCTACACGCCAGTCGTATCGCTCATTGTGCTAGCACACTCGCAGCGAAGCATGGTCGACGCGCGCATGCAAGGTACCAGTCCAGTGAACACTCGACGGCGATGCGCCGCTTACTGTTGATCACTCGAGAAGTTGCGTCTGGTAGCTGTAGTCACAACAGCGGCAATGGTGATGGTGAGGGAAACCAGCGTGAGCGGCAACCAGGGGAAAATACCAGCTTGTTTCTTTTGCGGGCAAAACGCCAACTGCCGTTCGTCTCCTTGATCACGGTGGCTCTGCCAATGCCCCAGCAAGTTTCGCGGTTCGTGGGAGCATTCGTAATCCATTTTCATGCTTCAGAGCGGCTGAGCAGAGCTGTGCTTGTCTAAAATCCCCAGACAGGCGACTATGACTGCTCCGAGATGCTCGAAACGCGGAGCATCGCGGCAATTGCTGGGCTGCCCGAGCAGCATTGACATAGACAGCTAGGATAGCCAGCGGATCGCCGTCTATCATTCATGCCAGAGCCGCAGAAACGAACAGAGCCTGTCAATTGTCATTGAACTGAGGAGACAGTGGGCTTGAGCGGTAGTATTGCAACCGCAGCTCTGGGAAAGCCGTGTGTGGCTCATCCATCCGATGTCGTCAGGCACATAATTGCTGCGTTATTGGAGTATATTCGTGGTCCCGGCTTTCTAAGAATAAAAGCCCACAGCTATCAAAATGTTAATTCGTCCGAGTATTGGATTGATTGTGAAAATGGCCCTGGCGGAGGCCGCACACCCACTAATCCCCGTTGTGCGCCGCGTCTCCTCTTTCGGAGGCCACCGTCTTCTTCTGAAGTTCTGTACGGATAAGCCCTTGGATTCCTCGAGTGGGAACCAAAGCCAACGGCATGCGAGGGGGGCCAACAACGAGTGCCCCCCCTCCCGGTTCGTAGCACAACTCGATTTCTTGGAAGCGGCGAACATGTGAGTGTGCTCGAATAATGTCGATGCATACGGGCGTCGTATTCAGCTGGCCAGCGCGCCAGTGAGCCCTCTCGGGGCCAGCTATGCAAGCCTCTCATCTGGTGGGTACCGTAGTTGTGCAGGAACACGAAACGCACAAAGGATGTGTGATGGAGACATGGCCGGGCCATTCAGAACGCTGAGCAGGCGCATCTTTGGCGACCCCCTTGCAAAAATTCTAGAGCAACGAGTCTAACGATGAGCTCTGCCGTGAGGTGCCATCCACCACTAGACGTCCGTTGAGTGCCGCTTGGCATATCAGTGGTCGATTTGGGCGTCCGTCACACGTTTGCTATCACCAGTCAATGACCCCGCGTCGCGCTTTGAGGATTTGGTAGTGGCTTTGCGGCATCGCGTTGGCTAGCGATGACGCAGCCGCCACTAGCAAGAGTTTCTCGCGCGCCTGGACTCTCACGGATCCATATCACTCGTGAGTCTTAGTCTGGCGGATATGTTGACGGGCGTTGTTTCTGGTTTCGACTTGTTCTCCATTCTTTCACGCGTCTGTCTGCTGAGTCGAGCCGGCGCGGGGGGCGTTGGATTGCTGACTGCGTCACCCGACCACGACCCCGCCAAAGCCGAGTTGAGTTGTCTCGACAGATCTAACATACCAATTCTGGACTGGCCGTCCCGGTTGGTCCAGCAGCTTGGTGACGGCCAAGCATCAACCCTGACACCCCTGGCATTGTTGACGGATTGGCGGGAGCCTCTTCAGACTGTACTACTCTAGGTTGCCTCGATATGCTTGAATGCTGAAGAGTGGACAGTTAAGACAGGCCGTTCGAGGTTGCGATGGCTGGGACTAAGCAAGCCTCTCAAGTGGCCCGCGGCCCGCGGCTGATGATCATGACGGGACAGGGCAGGGAGCCGATATTGATGGTGAAGCAACCAACGAAGCCAGTTGATTCATGATGCTGTCGAGTTTTGCACGGACGGTGGGCGACAAAGTGACATCCGATCTTTCAGGTCCGAGTTGGCAATCCGACCCTGGGAGGATGGAAAGTATGATTGAGAAGAGCGACAAGATTGTCGCCACCACGTCGCGGCGAGGAGGTCCATGCAGCAGGCAGTCTAGTTGAGGCAGTGCTCGGCGTGCATGCCGTCAAGTAAGGTGTGTGTAAGGCATGGACTATTGAGGCACCACGGAACCACGGGCACGTAAGTACGCAGCACCCATGGATCCGGAGCTGAGATGGGTTCGGTAGGGCAATGTTTAAATCCATGAAAGTAATGGCTGCGGGCTAAGGCACAGGGCGGGCGGGTTGGTCTGTTCAGATGAAGTGGAAAAAACGGTGATGCTCTCTCTTTCCACCTATCTTTCGACAGAGGTAAGGCGGGTGAGGTACTACACCTGAGGTACCGAGTTGTCAATTCGAGGCAGGTACGAGTGCTCAGACTCAGGCAATACGCCACGTGACTACTTGATCTAATGGGATGGGATGGGATGGGAAGGAAAGGAAGGAGGACTCGATGTCACCGTCCGTTCAAACACCAACCTGAATGTCACAGGCAACCTAACCTGGAAGGCCTCACACCCCGCATGGTTGGAAAAGGAAGCACCAGACCAAGGATGTACCTGCAGATGCAGGAAGAGGAGCAGGAGCAGGATTACTTCGTACCTTAGGTGCAGATGCAGATGCAGATGCAGTTGCCAGCTGCGGCCAACCTGGAGAAGGCACAGTTGAGATGGAGCCAACTTGCATGCCATGGAACCCGAAGACTCTCGAAAGCCAAGTGCCAAATTCCTTCCTGCCCACTTCCCTTCTATCTCTTCCCAAGTTTCCATCGAGTTTTCTTTGGCAAGGCGGCAGGGGGAGCAAGGAAAGTTGCTGCCGTTGGGAATTGGGAAACGGGAGTCCCGGTGCCCCGTTGGTCAGTCCCGTCTGCACTGGATCCATGATGCGGGAAAAAGCAAATATTCGGCTGTGAGAAGGCGCTCCCGAGTCCCCATTCTCCCACCTACCTCATGCAGCAGCTACCTACTTCCAAGACCTAAGGTAAGTGACAACTGTGTCATAACTCACACAATCGATTCTCATTCTGAAAGCTGCGTCAACACCAGTCAGGAATTTCCCTTCGTTTTCATGGGCCGAGACTCCCGTACCCACAGTCGATGCGGGTGATGATACCATCAGCCAGGCAAGTCCTTACCTCAGCGGTCATCTTGCAACTTGGTGCCTGCGATAGGCCCTCGACAAGAAACGCAACAACGTCTAGATTCTGATGGCCAACCACCCAACCTCACTGCTCAGTAACAACTTACTTTACCCAGTCCCACTATACGCCGTCCTTCGTCCACCAATGCCACCATCCACCATGACATCGAACGAACTCGTCTCGCATTAGACGCATGGAGCCCGCCTTACGTACGCACTCGTTTCTGAATAAGGCATTCTACTATGTTTCTTAATTGCGTACCTTGCCTGCTTGAATGCCCACACAGCTTTGTGGTACGTGTGCGGCGTGCCCCAACTCTGACCACCTCCACCACCACCGAAATGTTGACCAGAAATTTTTTTTCCACAGAAAAGAAAAATGATTGCTGTACCTTACAGGAAACGCAGATGCAAGGAACACCGCGATATGCAGCCTGTCTGCGCACGCGAAGCACGACCAGCGCCTTTACCCCTCATTCGCCCTCGTCCTCCCCTTGCACCACCCCGCTTCACCCTCACCACACCCTCACGATACTCGGGTACGGATAGATGGTCGGACGGTATACACCCTGGCACCCTAAACCGATGACCAAGAATTCCCCCGCGACCTGTCACTGCTGTTCGGACTCATGTTGCACCAATTCTTGCCTTATCGATAGATATCATCCTTGACGTCCACCTCACTTGCAAGCCAGGGAGAGACAACGCCACGATACTTCGTATGAACGTTACCTTGGTGCCGGTACGCCAGGTTCAGCCTGTCAGATCTTACGTATCGGCAGTATACACTAAATCA